GACTGTCGGTTCTGCGCTGCTCAGTGACTCGGCGGCAGTAACTGCCCCCGCGGACAGGGATGCGACTGCGCTCATGGCAACGGACGAGTTGACGACGGAGGCGAGGCCGCTTGACGTGACTGTCGGTTCTGCGCTGCTCAGTGACTCGGCGGCAGTAACTGTCCCCGCGGACAGGGATGCGACTGCGCTCATGGCAACGGACGAGTTGACGACGGAGGCGAGGCCGCTTGACGTGACTGTCGGTTCCGCGCTGCTCAGTGACTCGGCGGCAGTAACTGCCCCCGCGGACAGGGATGCGACTGCGCTCATGGCAACGGACGAGTTGACGACGGAGGCGAGGCCGCTTGACGTGACTGTCGGTTCCGCGCTGCTCAGTGACTCGGCAGCAGTAACTGCCCCCGCGGACAGGGATGCGACTGCGCTCATGGCAACGGACGAGTTGACGACGGAGGCGAGGCCGCTTGACGTGACTGTCGGTTCCGCGCTGCTCAGTGACTCGGCGGCAGTAACTGCCCCCGCGGACAGGGATGCGACTGCGCTCATGGCAACGGACGAGTTGACGACGGAGGCGAGGCCGCTTGACGTGACTGTCGGTTCCGCGCTGCTCAGTGACTCGGCAGCAGTAACTGCCCCCGCGGACAGGGATGCGACTGCGCTCATGGCAACGGACGAGTTGACGACGGAGGCGAGGCCGCTTGACGTGACTGTCGGTTCCGCGCTGCTCAGTGACTCGGCGGCAGTAACTGCCCCCGCGGACAGGGATGCGGCTGCGCTCATGGCAACGGACGAGTTGACGACGGAGGCGAGGCCGCTTGACGTGACTGTCGGTTCTGCGCTGCTCAGTGACTCGGCGGCAGTAACTGCCCCCGCGGACAGGGATGCGACTGCGCTCATGGCAACGGACGAGTTGACGACGGAGGCGAGGCCGCTTGACGTGACTGTCGGTTCTGCGCTGCTCAGTGACTCGGCGGCAGTAACTGCCCCCGCGGACAGGGATGCGACTGCGCTCATGGCAACGGACGAGTTGACGACGGAGGCGAGGCCGCTTGACGTGACTGTCGGTTCTGCGCTGCTCAGTGACTCGGCAGCAGTAACTGCCCCCGCGGACAGGGATGCGACTGCGCTCATGGCAACGGACGAGTTGACGACGGAGGCGAGGCCGCTTGACGTGACTGTCGGTTCCGCGCTGCTCAGTGACTCGGCGGCAGTAACTGCCCCCGCGGACAGGGATGCGACTGCGCTCATGGCAACGGACGAGTTGACGACGGAGGCGAGGCCGCTTGACGTGACTGTCGGTTCTGCGCTGCTCAGTGACTCGGCGGCAGTAACTGCCCCCGCGGACAGGGATGCGACTGCGCTCATGGCAACGGACGAGTTGACGACGGAGGCGAGGCCGCTTGACGTGACTGTCGGTTCTGCGCTGCTCAGTGACTCGGCGGCAGTAACTGCCCCCGCGGACAGGGATGCGACTGCGCTCATGGCAACGGACGAGTTGACGACGGAGGCGAGGCCGCTTGACGTGACTGTCGGTTCTGCGCTGCTCAGTGACTCGGCGGCAGTAACTGCCCCCGCGGACAGGGATGCGACTGCGCTCATGGCAACGGACGAGTTGACGACGGAGGCGAGGCCGCTTGACGTGACTGTCGGTTCCGCGCTGCTCAGTGACTCGGCAGCAGTAACTGCCCCCGCGGACAGGGATGCGACTGCGCTCATGGCAACGGACGAGTCTACTTTTGTGCGTGGTCCCATGAGTGTTTCTGTGGGAATGGAAACTGTGTGTAATTTGTGTGGGGGTCTTGCGGCCGATGTGACGCCTCTGCATGTTCTTTCCTCTGTTGATGGAGGTGAGGGTGTGGCGAATTGCCGTGTGGCTTCTGCCGCGCGCGCGGTTGTAGTTAAGAAGGGTAACGCACGAGAAATGGGCATTGCATCAGGTGTTTTGGAGAGTGATGCGGTGGCTAATGCTTTGCGACGGCCTTTAGTTGAGCTCAGCGGTGTTGAGGAGATTGCTGCTGTGGAGTGGCGCAAAGGTGTTTCGGGCGAAAATCGTCCGTCAGTTGTGTCTTTGGCGGCCCCGAGTCCGAGCTCGGAGCGTCGTGTCTTCACGGACGTCTATCCGGATCGAAGCTTTATTCCAGGAAGTGATGTGCGCCGGATGGTTCTTGTTGGGAAGGCCCGCGTACAGAATTTGACGTCTGCCAGCTTTGAGCGCGCGTTTGACGGGTCTGCGAGAGGTACGCGCGCCATGGAGGAGGGGGTGGAGGCACCGAGGCCGCTGCCCTTGCTGAGTGCGGTGGAAGAGTGTGTCGGTGGGGGCCGGAGGGCCGCCAGCCAGTCGGCGAAGCAGCCGGCGGCGGCATCAGCGCCAGCAGATGGGGTGCCGAGACGCGGGGTTCGCTTTGCCTCTTTTGCTCTTGCGCCGACGCCGCCGCCATCTTCCGAGCAGCGGAGGCCGGTGCGCATTCAGCGGCAGTATGACGCATACCAGGGGACGGTTCCCTCGTGGAGTGATCCCGCGGTGCTGTTACCGCGGCCGGTGCTACGCCTGCGTCCCGAGAGAGTGTCGCCTGCCAAAATGCAGTCGTCCAAGCTCCCACCGGTGCGACAGCAGCAAGAAGGATCACACCCGTACCATAATAATAAGAATGTTCAGCAGCATTTGACGCCGCGAGGAGCTGCGAACACGCTGGTGCAAAGACCCACTGGAGAGGCGGCTCCGTCTGTGTCTCACCGACGATTGGCCGAGGTTGTGACAAGGCTGGCGACCTCTCGAACTTCATCGCCGCAGCTCCATGCGCAGCAATCCATTTACTCGCTACTGCCCGCGGTGCGAACCAGCCCTGATCAACGCGACGCGCTGTACCGTCAGCGTCGACGGCGGGGAAGCGTTTCTCATGCCCGAATGGGGCCCACCGCCGCAGGCCCGCCAACACATATGTCCTTTCGTAACGCACCGTGGGGACCGGCTCTAGTTTCCACATGGGCGCATCCAATGCCCCGCAGCACAAACGGCGCCTCGCAGACTGGGCGTTTTGTGGGCGACAGGAATGTATTCTATTACTAGGAGGATGCGGTGGTGCCGCTTGCGGGTTGACACGCCCCGCGTTGATAACAACGATGTGTTGGTGGATGGCGGCAGCCCATACGTGCGTTTGTAGGAGCAGCAACAGGGAGAGTTGGCGGTGATTCAACAATATGGACGAACCGAATGAGTTGGATCCACCGATCAGAGGGGAGGAGAATGCTCACTAAAAGGGACATGGGAAAACGAACATCTTGATTTGTTTTGTGCTGGCAAGACGGCATACCTTGTCAGTCCACGTGAATAGCATACATCCATGCTTAAGTGTGTCTAATGTAATGAGGGAGTGGCAGGTCGTTGTGGCTGAAATATCCCAGAGTTTCCGACTTTTTAAGTAAAAAGTAATTCAAAGCCGTATAGATTGTCGCGTGTCACCACAGTGACCAACAAAATGTATATACTTTTGGAGCAAAAATTCGTGTATGTGGCGAAGCCCCCGCCTCTTATCTTACACCGTTTTTTTTTTTTTTTGTTTTTTTTTTTTCTTGTTGTGTTGTATTCATGTATAATTTCAGGATCCAGCCAGTGGCCCAGGCGAATATTCATTGTTTTTTTTTTTTTATTTTTATTTTTAATTTCTACTGACAGAACGATGTATACATTTGGTGTAGAAGGGCCTTTATAAATACTCAATAATGAGAACAAATAATAATAGTTTGTATGTACATGCATTTATATGTATATTTATATATATTTTTATGGACGTATATATACATATAAATGTTCAAATCCTTTTTTTTTTGTTTTTTTTTTTAAGCGCATTTATGTAGGAGTAAATGTTTAATAGTGCAGGAGGTGGAATTGTTTTTTTTTTTTTTTTTTTGTTTGTGGCTGTTGTTTGTGAATTGCACCGTTGCAATGTGCGGCCCGACATGTTTTTTTTTTTTTTTTCTTTCTTTTTTTCCCCCTTCCACCAGCCGCCGCACAGCAACGTGTGCACACGCTTGAGAGAGGAGGGGAGGGGATAGGAGGGGAGGGGAGGGGGACATGTTGCGAAGGAATAAAACGGAAAAAAAAGGGGGGAGGGAAATAAGAGAGGAGGCGCAGCCGTGAGTCCCACAAATGACGCGTATATTTCCTACAACGTGGTCACATGCCATTTTATGTGATGGGGAAAATGACAAACAAAATAAAAACGGAGGTCCGAAAATAAAAAAAAAAAAAAAAAAAAAAAAGGAAAAAAGAAAAGAAAAGAGAAAATGAAAGAAGAACGAAATTTAGTTTCATTTCAATTTTGACTCATAGTTTTACGCGTGTGCGTGTGTGTGTGTGCACGCCATTATTCAACGAACGATTAATTTTGTTGTTCTGTTTGGATTCCATTCGACTTTCCCTCCCGTTCCCTGCTGGAGGCTTCTGTTGATATGTGTACACATGGAATGCCTCCTCCACACCCTCCTCCTTTGATGTCTCTCTCTCTCCCTCTCTCTTTTCTTTTCTTTTTTTTTTTTTTTCTTTTCTTTTGTGTTTTCTTCTTCTACGGCATCCCTACCACTCTTGGTGCTCCATGAATGAGCCATGCTGACAGGGACGTCTCACGCACCGTTGCGAGGAGGAGACAGGACAGGAGAGTGTTCAGGTGTTTGGGATACTTGACAAGGAACCGGACGGAGGCCCTCGTTTATTAAATGTACCTGCCCCATAAATGGGGAAAGAAATGCCACGCAAATAGCCGAGTCCACGCTGGGTTACATCTTCCATTCTGCGCGGTCAGGAAGGCGGCGGCAAGATCTCGCTCCTCTCTCTCAATTCCCTTCCCCCCCTCCCTCTCATTTTTTTTTTTTTGTGTGTGTGGAATGCTTCTGCGACCACAAGCGAGGAAGAAAAGAAAAGAAAAGAAAAGAAAATGAAGATTTCTTCAATGCCGTATTTATTTTATTTTATTCTATTTATTTATTTATATAAAAAAGGAGGGAGGACGGGAAAAAGATCAAAGATAGGGGAAAGACAATTCATGCAGCGACAAGCACGGCTTCCGCATGGTGTAAATGACGCCTCAGATGTATCGCGGATGGATCCATGGAAAGATGATCGTTGTCGCGACTTCATCGCCCTTAACACCATTCAGCGGCTGCGCTCTTACCATGCAGATACACTACTACCTGTGGAGCCGATAAATATTCCTCGGGCGAAAAATCTCCTCTTGTTGCCAAAGGCAGGACCGGATGCCAGGACATGCGATACCGAGGAAGGTTGTGCTATTGACACAGCGAGAATTTTATTCTTTGGCCCTAAATCCTTCACTTCATTGAAGTCACCAGGATGCATGACTGCCTTTCCACACGGTGGTGGCAACAGTGGTAGCCGAAGTAGTTTTTCTCATAGCGAGGAAGTGAGAAAGTCATCTTCTGCCAAAAGATTTTCACAAACTCCCTCTATGCCTTTGAACTGCTCTCCGTCAGTTGATTCGTGGCAGCAACAAGGTGAGTTAAATACGACGACTGGAGAGGGTGGTGGCACATTAGACAACGGTGGAATTAAGTCGCAAGGGACCCATCAAGAGGCATTTGATGCGGGGGCCACACCGTTAAGGCGTTCGATGAGTGATGCCGTGACAACCCCAGCCCCCCGTCCACCCGAGCCTATTACTGGAGTTGTCACCACATGTGAGGAGGGTAATGAACATATAAATGAAGGACGTAATGCTTGTCAAACTGTTTCTGGTGTTGTAAAATTTTCATGTGCCATTGTGGACGCTATCGTGGCATACTATCAGTCCCTTCTTAGCCGAGGCGTCGTGTTAGATCGGTTTAACTCCAAAGACTTAGCCTTTTCATGGTGGGTGGTTGGACGGAACATGGATGTGGCAGCTTTGCATCATTATACAGGACCAATGCGGCGTGACTCTTTGGTGATTCTTGTCCGTCATTTTTACTACGAATTACTCGTGGAGCAGCGGCCAAAGAAAAGTCTCCTGTCAGGCCCGGTTTTTGTGCAGTCCCAGGGACAAAATGAAGAGAGGAATGAGGCTGCCACTGCCTCACCGAAGCCGGAGGAAGAGACGGTGTGGACGGACTCACATGACCAAAGCGAAGATGCACAATTGCCACAGACAACGGGGAATGATGCCACGATAACAGCTGCGGGGGAAAAGGGGGACGGGGCAAAAAAGCGGCCACGTAGTCGCCTTGATCCGACTCGCACAAGTCCGCTTCCAGTTAGTAATCGTCTTTGCCGCCGACGCCGTCTGGAGGAGGGCACAAATGGTGAGAAGCCAAGCGAGGCGGAGAAATCAACGGGGGCTCCGAAGGCTATCGGAGCATCTACTGTAACGAGCAACCGAACGGCGTCGGCGTCCAAGCAGGCACAACATTCCAAGGGACAGTCGATAGTGCAGACACCCGTTGCGAAGAAAGTTACTGTACCCACGGCACAAATTGAACCAACAACACCAAAAACACCCACGGCAGCATCTTCATCGTCCGTCGCAACGGCATTAGAGTCCACCGCACAAGAGAAGTCCCACGTTGCCGCGACGCATGCTGGAGAGGACACTCCACCGGTTGAACGGCCACATCGATCTTCTCGTTCAGCGAACATCGAAGATGTTTGGCGTCCGATTCGCTTAACACGAAGGCGTCTTCCTCCCTCTGAAAATAGTACTGATTTCACCGAGGCGACCTCAACAATAGCAGAAAGGGGATCTGCTTCTGTGTCATTTCTTAACCTTATAGTAGAACGAATTAATAAACGGATGGCAAATGATTCTAACTACGCTGATCTTCTTACGGCATTTCCAACCAGGAATTCTGAGGTGGGATGCCACAATGTTCTCTCAAATACCGGGAACGATAATGCAAAGATACTTCATGGCATGCATCCGGCGTTGATGCAGCTTTTTCGTTATTATCATACATCCGCTCCCGATTTGTTTGTGCCACGCACCGGATTATACATGGGGGAGGAGGCAGGAACGACAGAGGAAGAGAAAACCAACATGGCGGAAAGAGCAGCAAAAAACAAAATTGCTTCCATCTTTGAGGAAAATGGGGAGAACGGAGAGGAACAGCAGATCTCAGTCACTAAGCGGGAGCCTTCTACGGCACAGTCTCATGATATGATTACTGCCTCGGAGACTCTTGTTAAAGTTGAGCATATAAACGAAGATGCCATTTCATCAGAGCCAAATGGGCTGAGGGACGAGAGCCACGTGGATGCAGAAGCAAAGGCACCTCTTATGCAGCTTCCCTTTTCCTTTTCGGAGCTGACTTACGCCCAGCGATGCCTGTTAACCTGGGAGGCCTCATTGCTTCTTAACCCACGACCAACACTACCGGTGAAGAGGGGATCACAAGCGACATCGGGCGCCACAAAGTGCCAAGTCAAGCCCTCTATAGCTAAGCAAAGGCACTACTATGACTACTGGGGGAACCCATAGATTTGGAAGGGCCGTCTTTATTTTTATTTTTCCCTTCTCTTCCCTTCGTATTTTTTTCCTTTTTAACTCTTCGTTCATTCCCGCCATTATCATTGTGACGGATCATTTTTTTTTTTTTCTCTCTCTCTCTCTCCCTTTTTCTCTTTCTCCCTGTCGATGTGTTTATCTACTTGTACGATTGCCTCAATATTTCATTTTGTCTGCTTTTTTTTTTTTGTAGCGGTGAGTAGGTGGCCCTATCGATCAATCGAGTGGTTGGGTGAGAAAGAGGCAAATCAAACAACAGCAACAAAAGAGAGAGGGAGGGAGGGAAATTAGTGTCTTATGTTTACATTTGCTTGGGGTTTGTACAACTCGCTCTTTTCGGATCGAACGTACAAAGTTCTTATTATTGGTCTTGAATCCTCCGGCAAGACCACGCTTCAAGAACAGATGAAGTGTATATACGCAACGAACAGTAATAATGCCTCACAGACGGGGTCGGGCGGGGGAAATTCCATCCCCACACCGGCGCCAATGAGTGTCATGAAAAACAAACGCATTCGTCCCACCGTAGGGTTAAATATGGATCGCATTACACATCGCACCATTCCGCCAAGAATTTATGTCTCTTGTAGTCGGGGAAGTTTTTCTCTGGAAAAAGATGGCGATGCTTACCATTCCGGGTCTATTCACTCTGCCTCGTCGAGCATGTCTCATGGTTCATTTACACCAGTCACAACACGACTTACGTTGTGGGATGTGGGTGGCTCAATGCAGACACTTTGGGCAAATTATTTTGCTCCTTGTCATGGTGTCATCTTTGTGGTGGATAGCACGATAGGGGCGAGTGAAGATGCCATGAGTTTTACTGCTACGGGAAATGCTTCCACCTCTGCGGTGGCTGGTGTAGCTTTTAGCGATCAAGCCGCTACCCCCTCCGTGCAGTCACATATGAGTTCCTTGGATGTAGAACGTTTGAGCTCCACTTTTTCCCCATGCAGGATGGTGACATCCATAGTTGATGCTCCATTTATCGAGTCGGAGAAGAACGACGTGGTGACGCTTCGGCTGATGGAAGAAAAACGGCGAAGCTCCCAGCGAAAGGCATACGCGCGGAATGCAGCGGTGTTGCGTGCGGTATTTAGTCATCCACACCTGACAGACGCGCCGCTGTTGATTCTCTCTAATAAGGCAGATGTCATGGGTCACTGCCCTCTTGCCGAGATGCAGGAAGCCCTTGGGCTAGTCGATTTGGCCCTTATGCACGAGTCGTATAAAAATGGTGCTACGGATGTTGAGTCCCATTGTGAGTTAAATGCTCGTGGTGCAGGTGAAGTGTTTGGGCCCACTTCCATTAGTGATCACTCTTCTAACGGTGTCGACGCTGTGGGGACAAGCGGTATTGGAAAGAAAATCATGCGTTTGGCGGAGGTGAGTGCGTTGGATGGTTCTGGAGTACGTGAGGCGATGGACTGGCTTGTTTTTCAGATGCGGGACAGCGCGCGGGTGGCAGTGGAGGATGATGGGGGATGAATGAATGGCAGGGTGTGGGAGCGTCTGCCTCTCTTTCTCTATCTATTGTTTTACGCGTGTTTGTGTGTGTGCGTGCGGTCATGGGTGTACCTTTTTGTATGTACCTCTTGTAAGGTGTTTCTCCTTTCCTCTTTTCCTTTTTTATTTTTATTGCTTCTGTGTCTTATTTTTTTTGCATGTGTGATGCACATTTTGTATTTTGTTCCGGGTGACTGTTTTCTTTTGCAAAGCGGGCTGATAGAACCTCTCTCATTGTGTGTGTTTGTGTGTGTGTGTGTGTGTGTTGGTTTGGGGAAAGCATAGTGGTCCCATTAACATTTAAGTGCCGAGAAGGGGACAGAAGCCGGAGGGAATGCTTGGGACTTGGGAACTTAGCGCAAGTGTGCTGCGGTACGCCCCGCAGGTTCTGTTGAGGCAGTTGCCTTCCTTCTTAGTTGGTGTTGTCGCTGGATATTGCACCGTCTTGTTGTTTTTTGGCCCGTTACCACTTCTTTCCGGCGTCCTGCAGCTCATTCTCACAGTGGCGATTTCCAAGGGGTTGGCAGCCACCGCACGCGTGGGGATTACGAAAGGGATTTCCCTCTTTGAGGAGCGTACGAGTAGCGGCGCAGGGAATAGGGGGCCCGTGAATAGGCATAAACGTCATACCACGGAGCGTGGTGGCGTTGGGAATGAGAGGGGGACATGCGACGCCGTGGGGGCCGTGGAGGCTGGCGGTACCGCCGAGTTGGACTGAAGGGCGTGACGGATGGATGGCGCCATTTTCCCCCAAAACATGACGCCGGCGCAGCAAAAAGAGGAGGGACAGAGGGTGTTGACAGGCACGATGCGGGTAAATCTGTATAACAGGCAATGCAAGGAATGTGGTAAAAAGTGGGGAGAGAGAAGATGGGGAGGGAGGGAAGGAAAGAGAGCGAGCGAGAGAGAAAGGAAGAGCGATGTGCTCGGGTGAGTCTTCCGCTGTTTTTTTTTTTACATGTGTGTCTGCGCATGCCATTCATGTGGGTACCATTGGGTCTATACAATTACCGCCTCTCTTTTTTGTTGCCTGTGTACGCCTTAAATTGAACCCTTTTCTTTGTGTTTTGTGCTTGTTGTGCAGCTTTTAAAGGGTATTCTTAGTAACTTCAGATATCATGCACTATTCACAGCAGCCACCCCCTTATCAAAACCAACAGAACCCGTTGACTCCTTCTTTGCCGTTGCCGCCGCACCAACAGTATCAAACGCAACCAGATGGCTTTTTCTATCAGCCCTACTCAAACGGTGTTGATGTTGGAGGAGGAGGAGGAGGTGGTGGTGGTGTCTACGTGGATCCTGCAGGCATGCCACCCAGAGTGCAGACAGGATATAACACACATATCACTAGTAGTCAGTTCTTTAATGGCGAGGAGAGCTCCCAGAGAACACTTGAATCGCAGCAGGGCTCACATTCACATGTCATGTCGATTGGTGTCGTGACGCCGACCACCTCGAGGAGGGATTCATGCACTTCACCAAAGGCCTTTGGTAGAATGTCGGCCACAAGTAGTACCAATAACAGTCCCTCCTTTGGGCATTATGCTACGAGGAAAGAATCACCTCTACCATCGGTAGCATCGAAACCCTTTTTACAACAACCAAACTCCTTTTCAGTCACGATGATGGCATCACCGGCACCCGCTTTCCATGAGAGCGCATTGCATGCACCTCAGCCTTTTAATCAATCACAACCACATCAACAACAACAACAGCAACAAAAACCGTACCAACAACCATCCTCGGCCGGAGTGCCGCCGTCACAGTCTCCACGTACCGGGTTTGTGGCATCGTTGTTAAATGTAATTTTGCCCCACGATGCATTTGCAAGTAGCGCACGGCAAGAGTCTGTTCCACTTTATCAGCAGCGATTTGGCTACCCTGAGGATGACCTCCCGTTATTGGAGGAGTTAGGTATTTTTCCCCACCAAATACGTTGTAAGGCCTTGGCGGTTCTAAACCCCTTTCGGGCCATGGCATTGGAAGCAGTAGAAGACATGGACCTTGCTGGACCCATCGTCTTTGCCATTACTCTTGCCTTTCTATTATCTTTACAAGGAAAATTGGAGTTCAGCACCATTTATGGCCATTCCGTTCTTGGGATTGTCTTTGTGAAGTTCCTTCTTTCACTGATGACGGACCACGGTGTTGCGTTGCAGTTTGTTATTAGTGCTCTGGGGTACTGTCTCATTCCAAACGTCATTTTGGCTATTTTTCAGTCATTTGCGTACTGGTTGTTTGGATACATTGGTAAAACGATGCTGCCACCGGCGCTGTTGATTGTACTCTGGTCCGCGTGGTGCGCCACAGCGATGTTTGTGAATGGACTTTCCATGGAAAAGCAGCGGTATCTTGTTCTCTACCCCATGTTTCTGTTCTACGCCGTGTTTGCGGCACTGACGATCTTTTAAAAGAGAGAGAGAGAGAGAGGAAAGAAAAAAAAAAAGGAAAAGAAGAGAAAAGAAGAATTGAACTTTCCCTTTGAAACCAACAACTGGAAGAAGAGGGGGGTGAGCAACAATTAAGCACAGTCGTATGTATGCCTTGGGAAACGCGGAATCGAGAGCAAATTGAAAAATAGGAGAGACAGTGTGTGTGTGTGTGGGAGTGGGAGTTGCAGTTTTTGTTTTTTCCTTTTTGTTGCCTGCATGCCTTGACGTTTTCCCGTGCGACGCTGCCAGTCACTCCTCTTTTCTTTTCTCTTTCCTTTTTTTTTTTTTTTTTCTTTCCATGACAGCACACACACACAGACAAAAAAAAAAAAAAAAAGGAGACACTGAGGTGAATACAACGCATAAAAAAATATATATTTATTTATATATTTATATATAGACTAGACACTGCATAGAGAGTTACAATAGACGCATATCTACAGCCAACATTGATCGGTATATAAATATTTATTTATTTATTTGTGCATAGAGACGGCTAGAAGTGTCATTATACGTCGATACATTTACAGGGGAGGGAGGGGATAGAGAGGACAGAAAACAACAACAACAACACTGCCAGGCATACAAGCGGGGACTGGGAGACATATCATTTAATAACATCCACATTGGTCAAATAGAGATTTATATCTTAAGAAAGCGATAATGGAGAAGGCACCGCTGTTGGAACGGGAACAGGAGTACAACGCCGTTCATGCATTCATTGAGGAACGATTACGGATGTCGCACTGCAGGTCACTTTTTGTATTTGGCGCCTGTGGCTGCGGTAAGACCTCAACAATTCTTCGTGCGATGCGATGTGTCTCACACCGTCCGATGGCATGTGACAAGGTAGTCGGACGGACAAGCGCGGGAGGACGCGGCAGCTGTGGAAGCGGCAGAAGTAAGAGTCACAGCAGTCACGATAACTCGCCTTCCCCAGCGATCGTGAAGCGGAAACCGGTTAAACGACGTCGCGGTGAAAATGAGAGTGAAGACGCCGTGGACACTTTGGAAGGCGCTGCGAATGGTCGAATTTCAGTTGGCGCCAGGGACGCATCACCGGAAGGCGATTTCGTTTCTTCGTCTTCCCCACTGCCGGCCGCTACACTGCGGCTGTTGGAAGCCGACCGTCGCATACAATGCCACTATGTCAACTGTGCCGATATGACGTCGCAGCAGCTGTGTGATGCCATTGCCAGCTGCTTTCGTGTGGCCCAGCCTCGTCTCGATGCGTCGTCGCGGAATTTGTTGAGTGAAATTGAAGCACTTCCACGGCATGTCACCGCATATAAGCGTCGTGGTGTGGCCGCTGAAGCGGCACGGAAACTTCTCCTGCGGGATTCCGCCGTCGAACATGTCACAGAACCCACGGCTTTGAAAAAATGCGTGTTGAAAGTACCGCTCCATGTTCTGGCGCTAGACGAGGTGGAGTACGTTCGAGCCGGTGCCCGTGGCCTGTTAACTGCACTGGCCGCGCTTTCCGTGGAGCATGCATCACAACTGGCCCTCGTCTTCATCTCCAATCAACGCGAGTTGGTACATGTCCCGTACATGCTACTGAAGGAGCTTCCTTTTGAGGCGTATAGCGCACAGACGTTGGAGCGCATCTGTGCAAGAATTGTGGCCAATGTAGATTTCACGGAGAAGGAACGGATGCAGGTGCAGTTGAGTCCGGCTTTGATAGCGTACATTGCCAAGAAAGCCGTCCACGAATACTCCGGTGATGTTCGCCAAGTGGCTTCCATGTCCCGCCGCCTTGTCCACACAGCCCAGCAAGAGGCTCGTGATGAGGCAATCAAACGAGGTGACGTGCGTAATGACGAAACCCCGCAGCGTCGCAGCGGTAGTGGCATCACACGCGCTGGCGCGGTTCCGGGCAATACGTCGCCAGCCTCTCCCGCCGCCGTCATGACACTCGCGCAGAGCCAAAAAGTATTACGTGGTACTGCTGTCGTGAGCGATCGCGTCTTTGAGTACGTTGCGGGTATGCCAGAGCAGATGCTATATGTTCTCAGCTGCCTTGTTGTCTTGGCACTCCGACAGCAGCGGGATAAAAGTCTTGCGCAGTCAAATGTGGCCGGCGTGACATCAACGACACGTCGTGTGAGGACCGATGCTGCAGCGGGTAAAACAGAGCCGGGCACATTTGCGATGCGTGAGGTCCACCGCATGTACACGGCACTTATGGGTCAGCAACGATTTCCAATGATGAATGCGGCAGGCATTGCGTCTGCGATTGATAGTTTCGCAGATCTTGGTATTATTTCTCGGCCACAGCGATGTAGAAATGAGGAACTTTTTTCTTTTAACGGCACATGGTCATTGGAGTCGATGCAGAGTGCACTTACCACCCGCGGTGAGTTACTGCGACAGGAACGCATAGAGTTTGGTTTAGATGGTTCAGAGAATCGTTTTAGTGAAGTCTTACGGGAACTGAAGAAAATTGCCGGACTGTAAAACACAACACAACTTTGCCATTGTTTTGTCAGCTGCCGATTTTCTTTATTTTTCTTATATCCATCCATCCATCCATCCATATACATGTACATGTATGTATATGGCTTCTGGTCGGCATGCATGCATATATATACATATGAGTGGGCACTTTTGTGAATAAATAAATAAAATAAATGCACATAAATAAACCGCATGACGTCAGCGGAACGTACGACGAACCGCTTGTTGCTTTTTTTTTTTTTTTTTTTTTTTTAACATGTGGGTTCACTTTCCGCTGTATTTTTGGTGGTTATGATGATCACCGACAACATAGAATTTACTTTGGATTGGAACAGCCACTTCTTTGTGGCAAATGCATTGATAATATACATCCATACATTCTGCAGACATGCATCTCAATTTACAGTGCCATTACAGAAACGATCAGTAAAAGATAGAGAAGATAAAAGGAGTGGGGAAATAAAATAAAACAGACTACTTCCCCATCGTTTTTTTTTTTTTTTTTGTTGTTTGTTGTTTGTTTGCAGACATAATAATTTTATTAATAACAATACGCAGAAATATAGACTCAAATACATACATACATGCATGCATAGAAATATCCCCCTCTTTTTTTGTGTCCTGTACATAAATATATATTTATATATTTATTTATTTATTTATGTACATGCATATTTCTTGCCACTGACTATGTATATATAATTAAATTATCTTCTTTATTTTTTCTCTGGAGAGCACAGGCAGAGTGGCCGTGTTGTATTCGTGCACCACATGCTCTCACACGCCCTACAAAAAACCCATTAATAACAACTACACATGCCTTTTTTCCTTTTTCTTCTTCTCCACTGTTTTTTTTTATTTTTTATTTTTTATTATTTTTTAAAGGAGGGAAATGCCTCGCGAAATCAAGAACCTGAAGGAGTTCCTCGCCATCTGCTCCCGCAAGGACGCCAGATGTGTGAAGGTGAAGCACAACCCTGCGCAGACAAAGTTCAAGGTGCGCTGCAGCCGCTACCTCTACACCCTCGTCGTCGCGGACAAGAAGAAGGCGGACAAGATTGAGCGGTCCATTCACCCCTCCGTGAAGAAGATTACCGTCACGGCGCGCTCCCACGCCAAAACAAACGCTGGCAGCAAGTAGGAGTTGTGGCCACATCATCGCACGGAAATTGAATGGAGTGATGCAGCCGGCAGGGCGCCCAAACTGCTTTCTTCACCTCTTCTGTAAGGACTTGCCTGTGCATGTGTGTGTGAGTGGTGTGAAATATGACGAGCTCTTTTTCGTTCCCTGTGGAGTGTGGGGGTTAATGTTTCCTGCTTCGTATTTTTATGTCTTTGTTTTTATTTCATTCTGTGAAGCCACTACTGAAAAAAGAAAAAAACGTGCCTTCACCACCCTTCGTGTGGCTTTTATTTATTCTGTTGTTGAAGGAACCCGCGTGCATTTTTCTTTGCCGTCTTTCTCTCTCTGCTGAGGGAACAACCTTTCCTCTGTCACTTCATTCATCTCCAAGGACTTGGAATTGCCGACACTTCTGTGGGAAGGACCAAAAAGTGTCGCGGGGAATGTGACGGGGCTGCATCTGTTTTTGGCAGAAAACATTTGCAGGAATAATGATGCCTGCATCCCTGCCGCACGAGGCGGTGTCAAGTTTGATTGGCAATGTGGCAACGCATTCATTCTATGTGGCTGCATCTGCCATCAGCAATGCCCGGTGATGGCGATGTGCGCTGACGGTTTTCCTCCCCCCCGGCGAGGTGACAGTAGCAACAGGGGGACTGAGAGGGAGAAGCGGTGGCCGCGTACTCGCGCACGCGGATCTGAATGACGAACGCATAAAAAGAAGGCAACGAATTCGACTGGCGTCGCGCACGTCGCACAGATTGCATCGAGAAATGCATTCCGCTTTCTTTCCTTGCGTGGGAGCCTGCCATGATGCGTCGCTGCTGTGGCGTGTACGGTTCAGGGTCTCTGTGTGGTTCTCACTGCGCTGCGTTCTCTTCCCAGTTGTTTGTGTGTCGAGGGCGATAAACCCATGCCCTCTTGCATGTGGTGTGCGTTGCACGCTGTGCCCCGCACCGTGTGGATGACGCTTTTGTTGTGATTGTCGGCCATTTCTGTGCCTATTCTCTCTCTCTCTCTTTCTCTTTCTCGTCCTTCTTCTGATTGCCTGCCGGGGCTCAGCTCCAAGTGAAACCGGCTACGAAGACAGCGGAAAGAATGTCCGGGCGTCACGGGGAAGGAAATGACGATAATGGGACGAGTCCCGCGTCTACGGTGCTGCAGGAACTTAGTCGGGCGAGAGCGAGGTGGGTGTCCCGTAGTGGCCAACCCGCTGTGCCTCGCAGAAGAGTGCGGGAAAAGCAGCGGCCATATTGGAGACTTGACAGTGAGGTGAAAGATGTGCTGCTGGAGGGAGAGTTGGAGGTCGAGCCGATAAGACTGAATGATTTTCTTCGGGGGCATATCGGCCCCAGCGCAGTTGTCGATGAAGAATACAATGTGACGATGGAAGTATTTTTAATGGAGCCCAAGGCTTACGTGCAGGATCCGCAGCTGCTTGGACAAATTCTCAATTTGACAGAGTGTCACGCGCTGCAAGAGACTTACAAGATTAGGGGAGATACGTACAGACTTTATCGCGAAGGTGTGATCTTTCTTGAACAATGGGGGAACTTTGAACGCAAGGACATGTGCACTCCTTTTGCAAGGCTAAAACTCAATGCAGCCCTTAAGGTGGCACCGAAACAAGGAAGGGCATACATGCAGAATGGATGCTACGAGTCTGTGTGCAATGCGGGGTGGCATCATGTCATGGAACTTCCCGACGGCGAGGGGACGGGAATGGAGGTGCATGAGGGAAAACCACCACAGTCATGGACGTACAAGGAAGTTGGCAACACGCTTGAAAAGGATGACAGTGTGGAGCAGTCCGGTTCAGCACATCTCAGACTGATGGTGCTCACCTCGGACTGGGCATGGCCGTACTCTTGGCTGCTAAGTAAACCGATTCGTGACTGCTATGTGAACTGTGAGGTGGATCGAGTGTGGCAGATCGTGAAGCGCGATCTAACCGAGTGGTTCGGCAATTTTGATTTGGCTCTCAATTCTTCACCCAAGCAGCGTCTCTTGATTGGGGCGCCCGGGATCGGGAAATCGATGGCTGCCGGCTCGTACCTCCTCTACCAGCTGCTGCACTACGATGTCAAGAAGCTTCAAGTGGTTGCGTACCGCATTGCGGATCGAACATTCATGTTTGACAAGGCTACCCAGAATGTGTCACATTACATTGGTGAAGAAGCGGGTTTGAGAGCTGTGGAGGAATTTTCTGGGCGTTGGATGAGGGGGTATATCATCCACAACGTGGCCGAGCCTATTCATGAACCGTCTGCTCGTTTGCTTCCCAGGGGATGGGGCATGATTGTGGTGATGCCGCCGGAGGAGAGTGCCGACAGAGGATGTAAGAAGCATTTGAGGGGCAGGCGGATCATAATGAATTGCCCACAGGAGAGTGATGTGAAGGCAATGTGCGTGTGGAAGAAGCGAGATCAGTCAGCTGAGGCGCAGGTGGAATACTGGCAGGAGGTAAGAGGCTACATGGATGGGATGGGATCCATCCTCCGCGAACTGTTCAGTGAGAGAGATACTAATGCACGCCTTTCCGCTGCGAGGGAGCCGTGGAATGGATTGCCTCATCAAATGCTCATGACTACATTGGCGTGAAAAGTGGGGAAATGCGTTACAGTGATGGTCCGTCGCACAAACCTCTGAAGTTCATTTGGGTGATGGAGCATAAATGGAACGGGATATTCCTCGACACTGCGGTCCCCACTGCGAGCGGGCGCAAAATATTGATTTGTTTGGTAACGATGACACCGCCGGCCGATGTCTTGAAGCTCTTAATGCATGGCGAGGAATGCATTTTGTGGAGGTCGCTGGATGTGTTTGGCGCGGTCGCACCCACGAATGGGGGCGCTGTGGAGTGAATCCACCCTAAGCTCAAGGAGCTGACTTCTCCGCCAGGGCGACGGGAGTCAAAGCGCACCGCGCCACAGCCGGCACGATGAGGCAGCCCAACGAGCATTTGGCGGCATATTTTAACGGTTTGGAGGATTTTGTTCACGTGTCGTGGGTGATTGCTTGTGCGCAACACACGGACAGCACGTCGATAAGCGGCTGGCGGCGGTGTGATGTTGTCGGGTGCCCGAGTGGGGGTGAGCGAGAAGGGAGGGAGGAGGCCATCGCGGTATTTCGTCACAGGAAGGCATATCGGCGCCAGGTGGGGGGCGTCGTGTACAGATTCACGTGCTGTGTGTGGGGTGGGTGAAGCGGTCTTGTGCTTTTCCCTGAGACACCCCGTGGAGATTCTCTTCTACGAGCTCTGCGGTGTGACTGGGAAGGGGACGATCGCATTGGAGGTGCTGTGCGGGGCATCGCCACGTGTTTTTTTTTTTTGTGACATCATTTCTGAGAGATTTTCTTTTTGTTTCTTTTTTGTGCCGTCATCATTGCTCTCTGTTCTCGTGGAGCGGATGGTGATGGATGCTATGTTTTATTGCCTTTTGTTTTCGAATTTATTTTTACACGACGTTCCGCTCCTGCTGCAGTTTGCTCATGGAAGCGGTTGTCGTTGAGCAGTCGACACAAGAGTGTGAAACGAGGCGTTCTGGACATGCGCCTCGCGTGTCGCTGCTGGTGTGTTGGGGAATGGGATGTGAAAGTGCGGGGGAAAGACTTGCTTGTAAAATTTTTTTTAAAAATTGTTATTATTGAATTTGTGGGTGGGGCATTCAAAATGCGTACTCCACGTGTGCCTGCTTATGTGTTTGTTTGTGTGTGTGTGTCTTCTTGTTGTATGTTCCCTTCGACCCGTTGTCTTTGCTGTCCTCGCGTGGTTGGGGTGGGCCGTGCGGACGAAACAAGAAAGCCGCCACGATCGCGCGCTTTACCCAACGGGAGGCGAGCGGCATAGCGGATCAGTTGGCTCTGGGGAGAAGAGGGGGGCGCCGTGGCTCCACATGCATGTTTCGTCGACCGGAGGATGTCGAATGTCGGAGGACGCGGCTGACGGACACCAGGCCGCTGCGTCATCTTCTCGTGACGGGGGGTCTGGGGTTTATTGGGAGCAATTTCATCAACCACTTGATGCGAACGCATTCTGGGGTGCATGTGTACAACCTTGACAAGGTGGACTACTGCAGCAGCTTTAGGTCGATTGAAAACCCCAGTGACCCCCACTACCACTTTGTCAAGGGGAATATTACCAACGCGGATCTTGTGATGTATGTACTACGTCATCATGACATTGATACCATCATTAACTTTGCGGCGCAGAGCCACGTGGACAATAGTTTTGGTAATAGTCTTTCCTTCACGTATAATAACGTCCTTGGGACGCATGTGCTTCTTGAGTGCGCCCGGACGTATGGTAGGATAGAAAAGTTTATTCATGTTAGCACAGACGAGGTGTATGGACAGGTAACGGACTCCAAGAAGGAGGAGGGGACATTAAATCCAACCAATCCATATGCGGCAACAAAGGCGGCAGTAGAGTACATTGTGAAGTCGTACCATATATCGTTTGGACTGCCTTGCATCATTACCCGTGGAAATAATGTGTATGGACCATACCAGTATCCAGAAAAGCTCATACCTCGGTTTATTATGCTTATGAATGCTGGAAAGAAACTGACTATTCAGGGCAATGGTAGCAATAAGCGCACATTTATACATGCAAGTGATGTGGCGCGGGCATTTGTTGCAATTATTAACCATGGGTTTATTGGTGATGTGTACAATATTGGATCTTGTGACGAGAAGAGTGTGCTGGATATTGCCCGTATGACCGTTAAATATGTGCGAGCGCACAAGTGTGGAGAGAGGCAGCCACTGGCGGACCCCAGCGAAGAGGAGGTCTCAAGGCATCTTGTATTTGTGAAGGACCGTGAATTTAACGACGAGCGTTATGACATTAGCGTAGAGAAGCTGCAGGAGTTGGGATGGAGACAGGAGGTGAGGTTCGAGGAGGGATATGAAGAGACGGTGGCGTGGTATCTGAAGGCATTTTCGCAGGACTTTTGGGAAAACCTGCGGTGGGATATTCCCGACGCCCACGCACCATGTATTGGTGAGCTGGAGCTCTTGCCGTCACGTCTGTGAGAGGGACGTGAAAAGGCAGTGAAGAAGAGGGAGGGGACTGTGTGTGTGTTTGTTTGAGTGTGCAGTCATCCCCTGTTGTCTGTGGCCGTCCGACTCTGCCTGCCTGTTGTTATTTATTTATTTATTATTTTTTTGTTTCAGCTGTCCTTTTTTTTTTTTTTTTCTTCTTTTTCGTTCCCCCTTCCTCCTGACTTCCGTGTACATATCGGCAGTGCGAGGGAGGATATGCAAGGAGGAGTTGGTGAGGCCGGATGGTTCAGGGAGACGGTGTGTGTGTGTGTGTGTGTGTGGACGGGTCAGTGAGTGTGGAGGGATCAAACATGGCAGGGGGAGACAAATAAATAAATATACCCACAAAAAAAGGAAACGAAAAGAGGGATTAATTTAAATTTTATTTTTTACACTTTTTTTTTTTTTTTTTGGTCTTTCTCCTCTTTCTACGTCTTTCTGTCTATATGTTTTTTTTTTCCCTCCCTCTCTCTCTCTTTTTCTTTGTGTGTGTGTGTGTGTGTATGTCCGTTTCTACAAGTGGGAGGAAACGGGGAGGAAAGGGAGCAATAGAGCAGGGAAATTAATTTCTCCGTCCTAATAGTTTACTTCAACTCCAGTACGCACTCACACAGTTAAACACAGAAGTTGATACAGTCACCCTTTGCAATACTTGTACCTAAATATATATATACACACACACACGCCTCTGTAGACATATAAATATATATATATATATATAAAGTGAAAGAAGAGGCGTGTGGGGAGAGACTTTGCGTGTGTGTGTGTGTGTGCAACGGAGAGAGAGAGAGAGAGAGGAAGAGGAGGATTTGTGTGATATCCTCACAGGACAAATTCGTTGCCAGGAGTGTACATCCCCGACAAGTGTGACAGACATTATAAAACATATTTATATTTTGTTTCTTATGCGTAATAACGCCACGGAAAAACTGCTTAGCACGGCTCGTGCGGAAGGTCTCTCCATTACGGAGAATGGCTTTGCCGAGTTTATGGATCGTACCGATCCTTTACATGAGCACCGTGAGGCCTTTCACTTTCCCAAGAGGCGAGATGGTGGGGATTACGTGTACGTCAGCGGTAACACTTTAGGACTGCAGCACAAGGACGTAGAATCAAATGTCGGTGGGGTGCTGAAGAAGTGGCGTGACCTCGGTGTGATGGGTAACTATCAACACCCAAACCCATGGGAAGAGTTGGAAAGTTTGGGTAGAAAGGAGATTGCGGCGATTGTGGGGGCACAAGAGAGTGAGGTGATCACAATGAACTCCTTTGGAGTCAACCTGCATTTGCTTCTTATGGCATTTTACAGGCCAAAAGGAAAGCGGCGGCGGATTGTGACAGGGAACCATGCTTCCCCCAGTAGCACCTACGCCATCATATCCCAGTTGGATTCACGGGGGATGAATCCAGCGGAGGATCTCATTTACGTGAGTGCCGCAAACCATGAGAGCTGGGAAAGCAGTCCAGTGAATATTCCAATAGAGCAGTTTTTATCTGTTATTGAGAAACGTGGGGATGAGATTGCGGTTATTTTGTTGAGTGCCGTTCACTTTTTAACCGGACAATTTTATGACCTTCAAGCCATCACAAAGGCGGCCCATGAAAAGGGTATTTTTGTCGGTGTAGATTGTTCCCACGCTGTGGGGAATGTCCCACTGAAATTGCATGACTGGGAAGTGGATTTTGCATGTTGGTGTAATTACAGATATCTTAACAGTGGCCCCAGTAACCTTGGTGGTGCGTTTGTGCACAGCAAGCACACTTCGGTGGAAAATGAGTTGAAGCCGTTACGTGGTTCGTGGGGCCATGATCGCCGGAACCGCGCTAGTCTACATCATAACTTTGAGCCCGCAGAAGGAGCGGCGAGTTTTCAAATTAGCAACGTCTCTGCTGTCGGCATGATGGCGATGCTGCCAAGCATCCGTCTCATGGCTGAGGTTGGGATGGGGCCACTACGTGAGAAGTCCATGTTGTTGACATCTTACATGGAGCTGTTGTTGAGTGAGTTGGTTCCACAAGGGTCAATTGAGGTCATTACACCCGTTGACCCCAATCAACGTGGGGCACAACTGTCACTTCGCATTCTGCCTAACCGACTGGCCGATGTGCACTCTTCAAAGGACGCGTATGAGTGTAACTCCGGTGAGGACAGTGACGCCGATCGTATGGAGCGGCAACTCTGCGACAAGGGCGTTATTGTGAGTCACTGCCCACCAAATGTCATTCGTCTCGCCCCTGTGCCGTTGTATAACTCCTTCATGGATGTCTTGTTGACGGTTCGGGCGATTGCGGAGTGCTTTTAAAAACAACAACAAAAAAAGGAAATAAAAAAAAGGAAAAAGAAAAAAGAAACCAAACGAAGAAAAGGGAAAGTCAGCCATCCATCATGGATTTTCCTCCTTTTATTGGAAATATTTACTTACGAACACACATACATGTATATATATATATGTACTGTACATATATACGCACATACGGACACAGCATGAGGGGGGAGGGTGTTGAAGGAAATTGATAGCATTACAACAGCCACAGCAAAAATAAATAAATAAATAAATAAATAAATAAATAAATAAATAACAATGCAAGAGAGGCAAACATATTTACGCATACATACATATATATATCCAAATAAATAAATATATATATAAAAAGGAATGAAACGAAGAAGGTGGAAAAACAAAAACAACAACAACAACAACAACAACAAATGATAATAATAAATAAGAAGAGGAAAACAAAAATTTGATGCAAACTGGAAGTGAAATAGTTTGCGGGGTGAAGATGAGGGATGAAACGGAACGCAGTTGAAGAAACGATATATATATATATATATATTTGCTCTACATTGAAGCTTGGATGCAGAGGAAGCATACGTCCATCCATACATGTAATATATATTGTATGGATAGGGTATGTGTGTGTGTGTATGTGTGTGTATTTGAGTGGGGGTTAGGGGGCAGAAGAGGGGGGTGAGGGACGCTGAAAGGATGGGAGGAGATGAGTTGCCGGTCATAAATTGTGTGTTGCAAGCCAAACCCACTACTACCACTACTACAAATAATAATAATAATAGAGGCAAACAAACACACAAAACAAAACAAGAAGAAGAGAAAGAGAAAATAAGGTTTGAGGATAGAGATTGAGGGAGTAGGGGCGGGGTGTTGTCTTGCATTGCAAGGGTGACGCAATGGAGGGAAATTGCGTCATGTGATGGTGGTAGCGGCTGAAGGAAGAGAGAGAGAGAGAGAGAGAGAGAGAGGTGACATCTCTCCTTTTTTGGTGTGCGCATGTATGGAAGGGAATGAATGAATGAATGAATGAATGAATAAAAACAAGCAAACAAAAAGGAAGGTACATAAACATGTACATTGGATTGTTATTTCTCTTTTACTTTTTTTTTTTTTTTTTTTTTTTTTGTGTGTGTGTGTGGGTGGGTGGGTGGAGGGGAGGACAGGGGAGAGGGATATTCATATGAGTCAAGGATTTATGGAGCATTACAATAGTGTGAAATGTGTGCTGCATATCTTTTTTTGTTTTTTGTTTATATATGAGATGTATTGTATTTTATTGAACCCTTTTATTTCTCAACGTATGTATGTATGTATACGTACCTCTGTACCTCTGTACCTCTGTACCTCTGTACCTCTGTACCTCTCTCTCTCTATATATATATATATATTTGTGCTGATAGATGGAGGCGTTGCAAGTAAATGATGGCCATCTTTTAAGCGAGACGGCGTAAAGAAATTCATATGAATGCGTGTGTTTAAATAATAATAATAATAATAATATTTCTGTTTGCGTGCATACATCTTTTTTTTTTTTTTTTTGTCTTCTTTATTGCGAACATGTGGGTTTTTTTTTTTTTTTTTTTATTATTGTAAGTGTTGGGTGTTGTACGTGATGGACCGAGAGGGAGAGAATGGGAGGAGTGGAGGAGATGTTGTCTTGTGTTTGACTGTTTTGCTTTTGAAGAGCGCCCCGTTTTTTTTTTTTTTTTTGTCTGTTTGTGTTTGTGTGTTTGTGTGCCTTCTTTTTTATTGTTATTATATTTTTCCTTTTGCTCTACTCTTTCGGTCACCGGTGGGTTTGGTTTGAGAGGGCAAAGGGAGAGACACACACACACACACACAGAGAGAGAGAGAGAGAGAGAGAAGGCAGAAGAATGAGCAAGCGAAGAGGCCAGTAGAAGAAGGTCAGGAAACGAAAGGAAGAAAAAAAAAAAGAAATTGGAGGGATCATTATAAACATGTATGCGTGTGCATGTACTTATCTTTCTTTTCTTTTCTTTTCTTTTCTCTCTCTCTGTGTGTGTGTGTGTGAGAGTATTTTGTGCGTGTATGTGCGTGCGTGTGTGTTTGTGTGTGTCTTTGGCGGAGCGACAACGAAATCGCATGCCTGCATGTTGTCTGCCTGCATGTGTGGGCCAGGCGCCTCGTTTCTGCCGGCATCAACGCCAATATTTTCGTTTTTTTTTCTTCTCACTCTTTCCTTCTTGATTGCGGTTGCTGGTGTTGTTTGTTGGCACGTACACGCGTGTCCCTCTCTTTGTGTGTGTGTTGGGGACTTTTCGGGTGAACCCCTGCGTTGCTGAGAAGCACCCTCTTAAAAAAAAAAAAAAAAGAAAAAAAAGAAGGACACAGATGGGGACGGTGGCGCTGGAGGAGAGCAAAATTGATGACCCGACAGCGTTGCGGCGCATCATTTCGGCGGCGCAGCCCTGCCAAAGTCACGTGGGCCGCATGATGGATGCGAGCCGAGCCCACGCCCACATTTTCGCTGGCATTGAAAAAAAGTCTCACTCCGTTGCGAAGAAGGAGCGGGACAGGCAGTTGCAGCTGCAGCGCGAGTATCAAACTGCGTGGGAGGTCGCAGCCGTTCGCGGCCTGCAGCTGCCGACGCTGCGCACACTGGCGCCGTCCTTCACAAAGACGGCGGACGAGGGCTCCGCGGATATGGGCGGCACCGTCATTGGCGGGGCGGGGTACAACACGATCATCGGCATGGTCCCCACAGCGGACACCGTCCGGCGCATCGCGGATGATGACGAGTTGATCAGCAGCTTTCGTCCATACCGCATTGACGCGTTGCGGGCGGCACGACAGGCGGCGGCGACGGAAGACAGCGCCCCACACCCGGATGATGCGAGGCACTTGGAGCCCACACTTCGCACGCTCTCCACCAAACACCTCGTCGATGCCGCCGCCATCTCGGATGAAATTGCGCAGAAGTACTGGGCCACCGCCTCCGCCTTTTTGGATGCAGGCGTCCCAGAGGAAGGCGACCTGGCAGCCTGCTCTCGTGCGGTGAGTTTGGCTGAGGCACAACAGCCTGCGTGCACGAACGCATCGCGACGTGTTGCAAGCAAGGGCACCTCAAGTTTTCTCACGACGGATCGCTTCAAAACATCATCCGGTATTCCTGGAGTAAGACAACCGGATATTGGCCACTACCATCTGCGGTACTCGCAGGTTGAGCCGCGCGTGGTGGGTGGCTACATGTCTCCTATTGAATATGCAGCACCACAAAAACGGCAGCAGGAGGAAGTTTCCAGTGGAACCCCCGAAGGCCTTGTGGAACCACAGAAATCATCAGTGTCGGTGACGCTTGTAATGGCAGAGAGCACGAAAACATTTGGGGTCAGCACCGTTGCGTACAAGGAACAACGTGCGACTCCCATTGATACTACTACTTTTTCACCCACTCGATCGCCGGCTGAGGTGAAAGGCAGCCACATGTTTATTTCTAAAACAGCCCGAGCAAGTCCGGCTCTTTGCAGCCCTGCAAAGGATTTGCAGTACTACCCGTATGCAGATGTACGCTCCACCGTGAAACGCTCCCGCTGCCCCGTGAAATTTGATGTCAAACTCACCGAGCGTCGTCATGAATGCATGGCGACATCCGCAACAGTGGGCATGTATAACGTGGCTACGGACATCTCAAGCCATCCACATCGCTTGGTCTGCATGGACCGTGACACTGGACGTGAGGGACATTGGCTGAACAAGCCACCCGCGTACCAATCGGTGCCTGAGTACATTGATGTCACGAACGCCCTGAATATGGTGCGACCACGCAGACGTGTGGTCACCATGGCAGCGCAAGTTCCAGAGGACGGCCACGACGAACGTCCGAAGGCACCCGATAATACTGTTTCCATTGAGAGAGACCTTAACTTCCCGAAGAGCATCTTTGATCAATGTGAGGCGAGGAGGGTACGGCGGTTTTCGACAATGGTTGGCCGGAGTACTTCGGCGCCACTGAAGTCTTGTGAGGCTCCGGAGAATGTTGAGTTTACACAGGTCACCGCACGTACACCATGCGCTATTATCCATGCAAAAGCCCCCGGACATGCACCACTGCACCGACCAAACCCGACAGAAATTGGTGAAGTGCCAAACCTCAGGTGGGTTAAGCCAAGGACAGAGCGCACAGTGGATTTTGGTGTGGTCTCCACCGTGTCACTGCCGCCGCTCATAACAAAGGACCTATGGTACGATACAAGCAATCGCAAGCTTGTAGAGTCTCGAGTGAAGGGAAATCCCATGATTGAGACGCAAGTGTCACGTGAGAAGCGTGCCAAAATATTCTCCACGGCAGGCTGTGGCGCCCACACGGTGTACAACATTGATCTGCCGCGGAGAGGCAAGTCGGTGCCTGTGTTTGAAAAGCAAATCACGAAAGAAACCCAATTCTGTGGACACCGGCTGCAGTCGGAGCGATGGCAGCGGAAGTACCCGCGAGCACCCGGCCCTGGTCACTACAATGTCTCCTATCGCCTTGTGGAGTAACTGAGGCGGATACTCATGGTAGTGACAAGCGCAACGATACAGCACCTGCCCGCAAATGGCCCAAAAAAACCGAGAGGAATGAAATGAAATGATAACGGCAGAATGAATGACGGGTGAAAAGGAAGATATATAAATACCAGATGATGTGGAGAGGGAAAAGAAAATATTTTGAATTGTGGCTCCAATAATATGTATATAGAGTTTTACGAGAAGAATAAAACAAAAAAAAAAAAAAAAGAGAGAGAGAGAGATGGAGGGGGAAGAAAAAGAAAAAGAAGGATATGGGAATAATGCTGAGACACACACAACAATTTATGGTTGGAGACGAAGAAACAGTCATGCACAGCCGTCAACGTCATTTTTTTCGTTCCTAGTTTCTTTTTGGTCTTTTTCCCGTTGCATGGTTACAGGCTTATTTTTTATCTGGAGGCTTTCCTGTTCTTTCGACTCCTGCAACTTCTTTTTGTGCCTTTATTTATTTTCCCCTCCACCCCTGTCCATGATATCGGTTAATAATGCCTCATCAAGCCACGAAATAATTCTTTAACAGTCACAACAATGCTTGAGTCGCCCCACACCTCACCATGGCCTGCAGTGCTGCTGCTGCTGCTTGTGATGATGCTTGCGATGTGAATTGCCGGCGGGTGTCCTGCTGTCATCCTGACGTATCCCTGTTTCCTTGACGATGCGGTGCGTGCCGACGGCGTGTGGGCTTCCCCGGGTGTGGTGGGAGACGTGCCTCTCGGAGCGCAGGATGCGTTGCAGGTGTGCAGCGTCGTTTGGAGGGACCGATGGGTGCCCGTCCGCATCAAGGCGCCAACAACGGACCCGTGTGGCAGCAGGAGGCACTGCGGCTTCTCCTGGTGTTGCACAGCGAATGCATTGGACGGCGCGTTTGGCTGTATGAATGGTGCTGTGTCGTCTGCGCACGGGAACGCTGTTGCCGAGGAGGTTGTCCCTGCTGCTGTCAAACTGCATGCGGATCGTCTGCTCGTGCAGCCACTGGAGGGTTCGTTGGTTGTGCCGTCACTCGCCACGGGCAGTGTTTGCAGTCGGTTCACTGTGCCTGCTGAGCATTGTTCCGCTGGTGCTGCCAATTCTGACACAGTGCTGTACGTGGCTGCTGCGCCGGGTGGTGTGTGGGCACTGCCGTGCGCCACGCTGGAGGATGGCCGTCCCGTCGCTGGCGCCATGAACATTGCCCGGCCGCCTTATTTCACGGCTGCCTCGCCACCCGCCTCGCCGCGTACCTGATGGCCCACGCTGTCGGGTTTGCCTGCCCGCACATGGCAGGCCGCGGCATGGCGAGGAATGCTGCCTGTGTGCGTGGCGGGGCGCTGTTGGTGGTGGTGCACTCGACGACTGCCGCGATGGCAGCGAGGGAGCACCACGACTGCGACGACGTTGATGGCGTGGAGCAGCAGGATGGCGATGGGGACGGGAGGACGCTGGAGTCGCACCGGTCGCGGTGCCACGCGAGGGGTGAGTGGATGGCAGCGATTGGGGTGCCGGCGACTGCACGGAGCTGACGCTGGCTGCATTGGCTGTCCTGGGCTGCATGAGGGTGAGCAGGGGGATGGCGGAGCCGACGCGTTGGTGCGGGAATTCGTGCTGTGCGCTGCTGCGGAGGAATTGCTCCGCACTGAACATGGGTGAATATCTTCGCATGCTGTGCGAATTGGGCGTTCCCGTCGAATGCTGCGCGTCGGATCGGTATTCCAGTGGCTGGTGTTTGGGAGTGTGCATAAAATGCCAGCAAAGCGCCCGATGGACAGCTGCCCCATCATTGATCCCGCACTGGACGTGAGGGATGCTGACGCTGTTATTTGGCGGGGAGAGTGTTTTTCTGCGGTGCCCGGGGATAGGCCCTCTTCGTGGTGTCCGGACACGCTTCCCACGAACACGACAGATGCGAGGGACCCGGAGGAGACGTATCTGAGTGCTGCCATGCATGCGGCGTTGGGGTGCCTTGTCATGCAGGTGCGTCTTAGAGTGGTCGAAAAGGGCGGTGTCCGTTGGGTCCCATGCACGGACGGGGCGACGATTGCGTGGGCCACTCGACCGTACGATGAGGGAAGCGTTGCTTGCCGTGGCCACGCGCAGGTGTGCGCGATATCCGCCGCCGCCGGCACTCTCCTTCCGGTGGTTCCGTGGGACGGCGAGGCGAGGGTGTGGAGCAGGACGGTCCCACTGGCAGTTACTGGACAAGGATTGCGAGGGGGCGTCCGTCCCCGTTGCGGAGAGCATTGGGACCGGCCGCGGCACCCCACCGAAGGATGTCGACTCGGCTGCACCCCAGAAGAATCCGTCGCCCGAGGAGAGGCAGTCGCCCCAGACGCTCCGACAGGCGACGGGGTGATCTCGCCCAGCGACACCGCGGTGCGCCGCAGGAGGCTTTGAAGAAGAGCGGTCTTCCGTGCAACGACGATGTTGCCGCCGATGGTGTGACGTCTGTTGTGGGACAACCAGCAGGAGATGAGGCCGCCAGCGACGGGGCCGGTGGCGGTGCCACAACCACGGGACCCAAGGGCCCTGATGCCGCTGATGCCGCGCAGGGCGCCGTGGACCCTCCGCGGAGCGATGATGATGCGGCGGTGGGGCGCGGGGATTGGGAGAGGGACCCGACGGACGCCCCGCCTCCGATCCACGGCAATGACGCTGCAGCAGCAGCTTGTCCCTGTCCGCTGCTTCTTCTGCTTGCCGCTGCCGTCGCCGTGACACCACTCTGCTGAGCGGCGGCATGGGTTCCGTTGCACGGCGAGGCGACTGCTGTTGCCTCCTGCGTGGCCCGCACTCAGCAGTGGATGCAGGAGAGAAACAATCCATGCCAATTGGTATGCCTCTCTCTCTATATACTTTCTGTTTGTCTGTACACTTTATGCCAGGGACATGCTCTATACACTCTGCCTCTCCTGTGCTGGCTGCCGATGTCGAGGCATCACGCACCTTTTTTCTTTTTGATGGTTTACGAGTACCAGTCTGCTTGACTTCTTCTGAGGAATGCCGTGAGGGCGTTTGTGTGCGTGTGCGAGGGCCCTGTGTGGGCTGCGATTTCTCATTATTGTTTATTTATTTGCCTTGGCTTTGTGTAATGATCCTTCGCCTCTCCTGTTGTGTGTGTTGTGTGATGGGCGGTAAATGAAGTGTGTGGACGAGCCGAAGAATAGGTGCTTGTGACCAGGATGCTTGCGACGAGGGCTGGCTGCCTAAATGAATATGCATCCTGATAAAACGAAGACATTTCTGTGCGGTACTTTTTCTCTGTCTTGTGGTCGATTGGATGACCGCGATGGACGCAATCAGGGTGCCGATGGCGGTAGGACAAAATTATTTATTTATTATTAATTTTGCCTTCACAGCCAACCCCTTTTTGATTTCCCACCACGCGGCGGTGTTTTGTGGCTGGAGGACCCCGAAGTCTGCCACTTCGTAAGCCATGGTGTTTCTAACCCCAACAACGTGCGGCGTATCGCGAGAGCGGCAGTCCGAATACGTATATAAATGTAATATATGTGGTTGGAGCAAGCACTGAGTGGATTGCGAACCCACTGCCCCTCCGTTCGCCCCCTCCTTCTGTTTTGCTTGGTTTCTCTAGACAAGTTGAGGGTCCGGCGAGCGGCCCAGGCGAATATCCGCTGGTGTTTTATTTTGTTGGAGGCAAGATGTCTCCGTGGGACGGCTGGGCGGTGGAGTGTGGCGCTGAGCTGGCGCTGCGGACCGTCGGCACTACGAGTGGAATCGTCGTGGTGTGTGCAGCGGGGCTTGCGCTCCGTTGGCCGCTGCTGCTGGGGAAGGGGCGTTGCGCGTTTGGTTTGCAGCTCTTGGGGCTATTGTGGGAGAAGGTGGGAGGCTGAGGGCACGAGGACTGAATTGTTTTGAGTGGCAGCGCTCCGTTGACTTGCGGCCAGTCGTGGCACTCCTTTGGGGTTTGGCGGCCTGTCTCGTTTGTTTACTTCCCACTGCAGGACGTGGACAACACTGCTCCGAAGAGCACTTGTTTGACGGGTGTGAGTTGCTGCCGTGCGTGGTGCGTGGGCTATTTGATTGTGTGGGGAGGTGCATGGAGTGACGAATACTTCTGTTTGGCGTGTCGCGGTGTGTCGGAATGATGGTTGGAAAACATGTGAGGGGCGTTGTGTGTAGTTTTTGTGTCTTCTCTGGTGGAGCCGACATGTGTGCGGGGATTGTGGCATTGCTGGCTGACAGCTCCACGTCACTCTTCAGCATTCCTGGATGTGCTGAGGAATGACGGCTGGCGACCAGCGTGTTGGTGCTGCTGGTGGGAATAAGTGCATCGGGAATAGGCCGTTTTCTCTTTTCCGTGATGGAGCCGATGAACTGGCACGAGGGCATCGGCTGCAGGCTGCCTGCCAGCACGTGTGAGCAGCGGATCCATGCACACACCGACGCTCATCGCAAGAGCTTGTGCGATCACAGTGGCTTTTGTGGCGTGCCTTTATGGTCGCCATCCCGTCGGAGAATGTGTGAACCAAATGGCTGACTGCACACGAGGAGAATGAGTGCGTGCACTGTGCCGTTTTTCAGCGTCGATGGCAGAGCGGTAAAAGCCCGCGCTGGCAACTGAGATCTTTGCGTGGCGAGGGATGTCGGTGTTGATTTTGGATCGTCGAGGGTGAAATGATTTCGCTGCTGCCCGTGTGTGCGGCCACTCCGGCGGAGGGCGAACACAAAAGGGAGGATGCAGGCGCTGCGTGTGTGTGTGCCGGTGCCATGCAACAACGTCACAACAAACATGCTGCGACTCGGTGACCCTCACATCGCTGTGGTCCTCACGCACAGCCCAGGCACGGCCCGCATCGATGCACTTAGTGGACGGAGTGAGGCATCTTTTGAGGCGCTGCAGGGAACAGGATGTGTTGGCGCAGCCACGACATGCATGGAGTGTCACGATTGCACAGCCGGCTGTGGCTGGTGGAATATTTACTTCTCGGAGGAAACAGAGAGAGAGGGAGAGCTGCTGCTGGCGTCGTTGCTGCCTTTTGTGGCCTCCCATGCCGATTATTTTCTGAGGGGTGATGCATGATGAATCACAGTGGGCGGCATGCGAGGGAGGTGCACCGCGACGGAGCGTCGCCCCGCCCTCAGCCTGCAGGGGAATGTACGCCCACAAAATATGTGGTCGAGGCACCACCAAACACGCATGCCCTTCTGTGCAGCAATAAATAGGAGCGGAGGTGCGTTCTGGTGCGTGGGAGTCCACTCACATGGTTTTTATTTCCACCACAATAAACGGTGAGGAATCATGTGTCACAGCGACGAACGGAGGAAACATCTATTGCAACACTTTTACCAGAGAAAGGCAGGAACAACACAAATTGAATTATTGGCTGCACCAACACAAGAAAAACCCACAAGAGGAAAAACAATTGGGCACCCTGCAGAAACCCACACACACGACCCAGGCATGAAGGTTTGTCCTCTGAAGAAGCTCACAGACATATGCAGGCATCGGCCAGCATCCAAAAAGAAACACAAATAAATGGTTGCCTGCTTTATTCCATTCTTTGCGCTTGACTTTGCGTGTGCTGCTGCTGCTGCGGTGGTGGCTGCGCTTCCCGTGGACCAACAATCCACGTGGTGTGCGGGGATCTATTCTTTTTCATGGTTACTTTGCTGTTGTGTTGCTGTGTGCGCTGCACCTATTCTCGTGTGTGCGTGCCGCTCCTGTTTGCTTCTCCCTCCTCCATCTGTGTGTGTTGGTGCTGCGGCAGGGCTGTGTGTGTGTGTGCCTGTTGCCGTGGATTGGAGTGTGTGCTGTGCGTGGTGTGCGGCGTACGGTGCATGCCTGGCTGCTGCCCTCTCCTCATTTGTGTGTTTGCCCTCTGTGTGTGTCTGCCGCACCTCTCGTTTCCCCTGTTGCTCTCCATGTCCCTCACTGTGCAGATCAGCTCCACACCACTGAACGACCACACTCACGATGATGACGTGCCGTCTGCTGTGCGCCCTGTTGGTGCTTGCCCTGTGCTGCTGCCCGTCTGTGTGTGCGATGGAGAATAGAGAAGATCAAGATGAGGTCAGCCCCGGTTTACCGCCTGCTCAGCCAACGGGAGCAACCGGTGCAGGGCAAGCAAATAATTTCACGGCGCCAAGTTCAGCAGGTATGAACGTTACGTTATCGGGAACCCAAAGTCCGGAAGGTGAGGGAAAAGCATCAGACACGAGGAGTAATACCGGAAGAAGTACAGGTGGATTGGCTGATACGTCAGGGAACTCAGATCCAACACGTCCGGCGTCTGGTACAGAACAGGGACAGGGTGGACCCGGTAGGTCAGGGAGTTCAGGTACGGCGGCCGATACGGTACAGAAAAACAGTGAAAAAGTTAGGACAGACTCAACAAGTGGCAATAATTCATCCACAGACCAAACAAATACGAATGCTGGCGATACGGCCGAGAAGAGCAAGGCGACCACTATCACTACTACGACAACTACGACGACCACTACAACACAGGCACCAACTACCACGACCACAGAGGCGCCAACTACAACGACGACCACTCGCGCACCGTCACTTCTTCGCGAAAGCGACGGCAGCCTCAGCAGCTCTGCGTGGGTGTGTGCCCCGCTGCTGCTCGCCGTATCCGCGCTGGCGTACACCACTCTGGGCTGAAGAATTGTGTGCGGGCTGTGCGTGCCAGCACTTAACCGCGGGAACTTGTGTGCGTCCACTGTGGTCCGATGTGCTAAACAGGATAAAATAATGATTGTGTTTTACTTCATTTGCTTCCGCTGCCCTGCTGTGTGCTCCTTGCCGCTCCCCGCATCCGTCACGTTGAACGCACCCCAGACACACTCATGTGCATGGCACGCACACAACTGATTGCGTGGAGTCGCATTTGAGGATGGGTGCGTGCGCGCTGGAGCCATGCTGTGCAGCCCTTTGTTTTTTGTGTTTTTTTGTTTAACTTCATTGCTGTTCGTTTACCTGTGTTTTGTTTCTAATCGTTTTGTGTGTATTTTTCTGCTTACTTGCTGCGGGGCGTTGTGTGTTTTTGCCCTTTCACTGCTTTCAACTGCCTCATGGTGTGTGTGTGCTGCCGCTGCTGGGCTGCTGCCATTTGTGACTGTGCGGTGGCTGTGCGTGGTGTAGCGGCCGTGTCTCCCCTTTTGTTTTCTGTGCTTTTGCAGGCGGCTCCACAGCGTTGGGCGACTCCACTGTTTGTGATGATGACTGGCCGTGTGCTCTACGTCCTGTTGGCTCCTGCAGTGATGTGCAACGGCTCGTGCGTGTTTTTGACGGCTGCTGCGACGGCGTGTGTGTGCGGCCCGCTGGTGATGGCGCGGTGACTGCTGAGCACGCGCGGGCTGTGATGGCTGCGGAAGGAGGACCGTGGCCGGTGGCTCTGGACGAAAGGGGAAAGTGAACTCTGAGGTTGACAGCAATCAGGAAGAAGAGGAGGGTGGAGAAAACACGGCGGGTGAGGACCCCAATCCCACCCCCACAGGACCACTCACTGCTCCGACGAGGCAGGATCAATCCTGCAGCGACCCACTGCGAAGTAACAATTGCAATCCGTCCGGCACTGGCAGCGCCTCTGCCGCTCGGATGCGTGCAAATGGACCGGAGTCTTTGGGCGGAGGGCACGCTGGTGGCGGGAGGACCTCCCAGGGAAGTGAGGCTTCGGAAAAAACCGTCACGGGAGAGTCACGGTGCCAGGGACGGCAAAGGAAACACCGCAAGACGATGAAGGAGGAGAACCCGGAGCGCAACACGAGGCCGACCAAACCACGAAAATGACTGTGATGACTTGTTGCGCAAAGCAGCAGTGGAGCAGGAGGGTCACCAGCGAGGTCGCAAGGTGCGCCACGACCCGATGGTGGCGAGAATGCTCATTATTATTTTTTCCCTACTCTTACCGGCGCGTCTAGCTATACGATGCCATCCTGGTGCCGAGGAGGCGGTTGAGCAGCGGAAAAGGCTTCCTGCTATGAAGCAACTGCCATTGAGAGAACTTTTTGGTGCGTGGATCTTCCTGAATGCCCCGCCGTTGGCGCGCAGCGGAGGTGCCTGGGCATTCTGGGAGCAGATGGCGAAAGGTTTCCTGCGTGTCAACTGGCGTGCCTGTGGAGGTTGGCTGATCCTGCAGTGGCGGAGACCGCTTCCTGGCACCACAGGGCGAGTAGCGGTGAGTGTCTTGGCGAATGGTACGACGCCACTTGTTGCTGGGCTGGGTAGTAAAGCATGTCAGCGGGTCCGTGTGCCATATGGGTGCGATTCCATGCTCCGTGTGTTGTCCGGTTGCCATGGTCTGCGTCGCATGCTGAGCCGCAAGCTCATTAGCATGCACTCCACAATGTCCGTAACAAAACTACCGGCGCACGGACCAGCCAGCACACATCAGTGTCAAGAGACGCTGCCAGATCCGGTCCTTGTTGAGGGCCGCTAGGAGAGACTGGCTTTGTGTCGCCACAAGCGGGGTTTTTACGCCTGTGGTGGATCCGAGGGATAATCAGCCACTCCAGGGCCAGGAGCAGCGCACTGGATTCCGTCCTGCAGCTTCAAGGGCGTGTGCCGCAGTTGTTACTTACTTTCCCTATTATCTGCGAGGAATGCAGGGATGAAGGCGGTATGCCAACCCCGGCTGGCGTGGGAACGTCGAAATCGCCATCCGCTGCGAGTATCCACGAGCGGTGGCTGTGCAGCGCTGGAGCCTCTTTACGGACTCTGCGCATTTCCCTTATCAGTTCTTTTTCGTCGGTGATCGAGTGGTCTATCGGAAGTTCTACACCGATGGTGACCCGGTGAGCGGAGGCCGCAGACCAGGGAGGAATGGAGCCACGAAAGAACCGCCCTTCGCGTGGTGAGCTCTCGGTGATGCCGTAGTCTTTTGTGTATGCGTCTACGAAGGCATATAGCTCGTGCCGAGACAACGGCGAGATGCGGAAATCTGCGCGAGGCGAAGGCTCAGACGTTGATCTCCGCATCCAGTCCATCTGACATGCGCGTGTTTTCTCAAATATTGAGAGCCGTGCGCGCAGGCAAAGGACGTGGAGCGGCGGTATATTTGCTTCTAGGAGTGCGGATTACTGGTCGACAGTGCTCGGAACTCCGCTGACAATGCGTGCCAGACCTGCGTACGTCTCTTGCATCTCATTCTTCGCTGAATCCGTCGCTACTGCCCATATGAGCTCGCTGCCATAGCGTAATTTGGATGCGTCGTATCCGATGATGGACGTGCGTAGGTCATGTGGAGATGGTCCCGCCTCTTTGTGCGCTATGCAGCGTGGCTGCGATATCCGTTGCGAAGTGGCAGCGCATTGCCTGGTGGCCGCCACATTTAGCGTCAGTTGCGGATCGAGATCCATGCCGAGAAGCTTCGTAGTTCGCGATGCCCCCATGGTCATGACTGGGATTTTACATCCAGCCACTACCAGGGGCCACCTTCCTTTGCGATCATCATCTGACTCCGTGTGCGTGGAGAGTGTGAACCAAGCGGCTTCACACTTTGACGGGTTAATGGCCAGGCCACTTTACTGGCCCCGCGCGTGCAGTTTTTTTGGGACCGTGTTGGCTGCGGGAATGGCGTCTTCCCGGGACTGCCCCTTAACGATAATAGAGCGGTCGTCCGCGTGCATGTCTGCTGTGACACCCGCAAAGCTGTTCAACAGATTGAGAAGTGGGTGTGCGTAAAGGGAGAACAAAAATGTGTTCCCAATACGGACCCCTGAGGAACTCCTCGCAGCGTGGAACGCCGATCGCTGTGTCTGTGGCCAACTCGTGTCTTCGCGTAGCGACCACATAGAAAGTTTCTAAGCCACCTTCTACAATTCACCCCCGGAATATTGGCCAGCAAGCGACTGAGGACTCGATGAACAGTGAACTCAAAGGCCTTGCTGGAGTCTACCAACACCAACGGAGCCCGATGGGGTCTGCAGTGGAGCTGGCTTCCAGCACCGCTCTTCTTGGGAAGGTTCGCTTGGAAGTAATCGGTTCTGTTATGCTCCACTTCGTGTATCAGGAGTGCCAGCCGCATCGTCGTGGTACGCGTACTATGATATGCATACTGGTGGGGGTGCTGCGTCCACACCCAAAGCGGTCTCCTCAATGCCATTTTCTCAGCAGCCTTACCCACGATGGAAGGAAGGCTGATGGGTCGATATGACTCCGTTAGCGCCGGCGAATTACCGGGTTTCAGGACTGGGACGATGGTGGCTCGTCGCCACTGGACCGGAATCGTGCCGGCTGTCCGGCTGTGGTTGATGCAGCGGAGAGGGAATCGGAGACACTTCGTCGAAAGATGTGGTAGCGCCTCGCTGTGGACTTCGTCCGGTCCGGGGCCTTGCCGTACGGTGTGCTGCGCAGCGCTGCACGCAGTTCCGTACGATTAAAAGAGGCATCCAGAGAGAGGGGAGAGAAGGAACCTATCGAAGATGAGGCGGCCGACTCGTTGTTGTTCTGCGGCCTAAGAAGGGGAGGGAGAAGAAATACACAAGGACTTGTTTTCTCCGTTTTTTCCCGTTGGAAAACCCAATCGCCTTGCGAGGTGGGGAGGAATCCAAGATTGAGCGCATCCGCTGCTCTCCTTGCTGTCCTGAAGTTATTCTTGCGGCCATCGTACATCAACGCCGTTGTGGGAGACGGAATTGATGTCTTTTTACGTCCGGAATGTATTTTTTAGGCGAGTGGTTTGCCTGGGTTTAACTTGCTGATGCGACGCCGATATTTGCTGCGCGAGCGCTCACGGAGTAGGAGGAGGAATTGACTCCTTGTCCGTTGCGTCTCTGTTTCACGGTCGGGCGTCGGTAACTGCAGACAGCGGGCCTTGCTGTCGGTAGCAATTCGCTCTGCCTTCGCAAGGGCGTTGCCCCGGAGCTTGGGATCATCCTTGTGCATGCCGCGGGGTCAATGCCGTCGAAGTGAAACTGCAAGTGCTCTCGTAAAAGCTTTAATGCCGGTTGATTGCTTTTTATGGCCGCATGCTGGAAGTTGTGCGTCGAGGTCGTTGGCGAAGGACTCCCACCTGGACTTCCACCAGCTGTAGAAGACTCGACGTACCGAAGTGGGTGCCGAGGGTATGGTGTCCTTAAATACCTGATGCAGCGTGAATGTCAGCACATAGTGGTCACTGAGCGGCGGCAAATTGGCTGTCCAGTCGGACACGGTAAGATGCCTTGACCATGTCCGGTCGATACAGGATCTCTCTCTTGCACCACGAGCACACTTTGTTTCACCAGGGGTGTTAACCAAGGTGAGTCCCGCATCCGTGCGCGGTTGTATAAAATTCTACAGCGGAGTTGCTTGGAGGGGTCTCCAGGAAGGGCTCCCACCGTGGGCGACGCACGTTGAAATCTCCACACGGAATGAGCGGCGACGAGACCGAGAGGCAGCTCAGCAACCGCCTAAGGGTTGTGTTGGTTGCGGCGGTGGTCTCATATAGGTGCTCGTTACAATAAGATCACGGTTCTGGCCCAGCGCGAATTGGACCACCACTTCGAGACTGGAATCACGTTGAGGAGTGATGAGGGGCATACGCTTGGAGCGGAGGTTTTTCTTCACCAGCACCGCTGCAACACATTCCTTGCGGATACGTGATTGTGCGTGGAGCACATAATCTCCAGTGTGCATGCTGGCGATCTGCTCCGACGACTTCCAGGTCTCCTGGATGGCTATCATGTCTGCTCCCTGCGCCATTAATGTTGCGAGTTTGGCCGGCGTCAGTGAGGGAACGGTCATCTGGAGTGCTGCTATGGGGCTCGGGCTCCGCTCAACGTCTCCGCCTCGCAGTAGCTTTTGCCTCTGTGCGTCACATACGGCACGCAGACGACACGTGTAGCGCCGATAAGCGCCGACGAAATCCGGCAGCAGTGAAACCCGCTCGTCCGTCGCATCGTCTGAATCCCACTTGCTGCGATCCCCACTGCTGCCTGCACGCTTCGTGCTTGCGTGTCCCCTGGTGACCGGGATGTGGTTTGGCCCTTCGCGCTGTATGCGCTTGAATTGTCCTTTCGCGACTCTTCGCTTGTCTTGGCCCTGGCCCCGGCGGTGTATTGAATGCGTTGCTGCGCCATCTTGTACCCGCAGCCCGCTGCTCGCTCAGAACGATGAGTAGCACCTCCCTTGCGGACGGCAGCCTGCGAAGTTCCTGGGAAACGGGGGACACTGCTCGCATCCGCAGACACGGGAAGGACGCATGCCGCACGGAGAGTTGTCGGCCCCTCCCGCTGCTCTCTGTCCTGCTAGGGGTGAGCGAAGGACTGGTCCACCGCCGCCTGTCGGCGCTGCTGGCACGCCACCGACATCAGCCTCGATTAACGCCACGACGCACGGTCTCCGACGTGGTGACGCCTGTCCGTGACAAAACGGCACGAGGGCTGAGCGAGCGCATCGCCGTGGAGTGTGGGCGTCGCAGGGGCGGCGTCCCGCGCTGCACCCTCACCGTCGCCGCTCTCTCGCAGTCCCGACCGGCATCTCGACTGCGTTCGACACCGTTGACGATGGGCGAGTGCTGGATGTGGCCTGCGGGCTCCCGCGCCTGGGAAGCGGCCACGTTGGGGTGAGTGATCGCAAACAATATTTCCGACAGTAGCTCGCCTCAGCCGGGGCAGCCCACTGCAGCACGCGGATAACACAGGTCCGAGGAACACTTGTTTGACGGGTGTGAGCTGCTGCCGTGCGTGGTGCGTGGGCTATTTGATTGTGTGGGGAGGTGCATGGAGTGACGAATACTTCTGTTTGGCGTGTCGCGGTGTGTCGGAATGATGGTTGGAAAACATGTGAGGGGCGTTGTGTGTAGTTTTTGTGTCTTCTCTGGTGGAGCCGACATGTGTGCGGGGATTGTGGCATTGCTGGCTGACAGCTCCACGTCACTCTTCAGCATTCCTGGATGTGCTGAGGAATGACGGCTGGCGACCAGCGTGTTGGTGCTGCTGGTGGGAATAAGCGCATCGGGAATAGGCCGTTTTCTCTTTCCCATGCTGGAGCCGATGAACTGGCACGAGGGCATCGGCTGCAGGCTGCCTGCCAGCACGTGTGAGCAGCGGATCCATGCACACACCGACGCTCATCGCAAGAGCTTGTGCGATCACAGTGGCTTTTGTGGCGTGCCTTTATGGTCGCCATCCCGTCGGAGAATGTGTGAACCAAATGGCTGACTGCACACGAGGAGAATAAGTGCGTGCACTGTGCCGTGTTTCGGCGTCGATGGCAGAGCGGTAAAAGCCCGTGCTGGCAACTGAGATCTTTGCGTGGCGAGGGATGTCGGTGTTGATTTTGGATCGTCGAGGGTGAAATGAATTTGCTGCAGCCCGTGTGTGCGGCCACTCCGGCGGAGGGCGAACACAAAAGGGAGGATGCAGGCGCTGCGTGTGTGTGTGCCGGTGCCATGCAACAACGTCACAACAAACATGCTGCGACTCGGTGACCCTCACATCGCTGTGGTCCTCACGCACAGCCCAGGCACGGCCCGCATCGATGCACTTCGTGGACGGAGTGAAGCATCTTTTGAGGCGCTGCAGGGAGCAGGATGTGTTGACGCAGCCACGACGTGCATGGAGTGTCACGATGGCACGGCCGGCTGTGGCTGGTGGAATGTTTACTTCTCGGAGGCAACAGAGAGAGAGAGAGCTGCTGGCCTCGTTGCTGCCTTTTGTGGCCTCCCATGCCGATTATTGTCTGTCCGCTGATCATGGGTGGCATGCCTCCACTAGTGACGTCGTCTGCAGGCATTTCACAGCACCAGCGAAACACACATCATGTTGCATGCTTTGGCTGTGGGTATGGTGTCGTGAATGCAGCCGGCATTATTTTGCCCGACTCCTTTTCACTGCCTTGCGACAAATAGATGCGTCGCCGCCCGAGTCATTCACTGCAGCTCCGTGTGCTGTACTGCCAGCACAAGACTCTCGTGTTGTCTGGCGCCTGGCTGACAGTCAAGCACCACTGCGTTGGGACATGCAAGGATGTGGACTGCCGCTCACGGTGTTGGGCACCGCTGTTTGGATGCGGCGGCCACACGAGCGGATGTATTGTGGCACAATGAAATGCGTGAAATACGCGGAATCACAGCGGCTGCAATAATATCAGCGGTGTGGCACCACGGAATGTATGCGAGAGTGATGCATGACGAATCAGAGTGGGCGGCATGCGAGGGAAGTGCACCGCGACTGAGCGTCGCCCCGCCCTCAGCCTGCAGGGGAATGTACGCCCACAAAATATGTGGTCGAGGCACCACCAAACACGCATGCCCTTCTGTGCACCAATAAATAAGAGCGAAGGTGCACTCTGGTGCGTGGGAGTCCACTCACATGGTTTTTATTTCCACCACAATAAACGGTGAGGAATCATGTGTCACAGCGACGAATGGAGGAAACACCTATTGCAACACTTTTACCAGAGAAAGGCAGGAACAACACAAACCGAATTATTGGCTGCACCAACACAAGAAAAACCCACAAGAAGAAAAACAATTGGGCACCCTGCAGAAACCCCCACACACGACCCAGGCATAAGGGTTTGCCCTCTGAAGAAGCTCACAGACATATGCAGGCATCTTCCACCCTCCAAAAAGAAACACAAATAAATGGTTGCCTGCTTTATTCCATTCCCTGCGCTCATTTTTGCGTGTGCGGCTGCAGCTGCGGTGGTGGCCGCGCTTGCATGAAGTGTTGTGCGCTGAATATGAAGGAAGGCCAAAGGCGACTGAACTGTTTTTGTGATGAATATTGGCTGCGCTTCCCGTGGACCAACAATCCGCGTGGTGTGCGGGGATTTTCTTTTTTAGTTTGCTGTTGTTTTGCTGTGTGTGCTGCACCCTCTTGTATGTGTGTGTGCGTACCCTCCGTGAGGGGTGCAGGCACGACGGACCGCTCTCGCCGTATTTGCATGCGGTGGAGCCTTGTGTGCCGCTCCTGTTTGCTTCTCCCTCCTCCATCTGTGTGTTGGTGTTGCGGCAGGGCTGTGTGTGTGTGTGCCTGTTGCCGTGGATTGGAGTGTGTGTTGTGCGTGGTGTGCGGCGTACGGTGCATGCCTGGCTGCTGTCCTCTCCTCATGTGGTGTTTGCCCTCTGTGTGTGTCTGCCGCACCTCTCGTCTCCCCTGTTGCTCTCCATCTCCCTCACTGTGCAGATCAGCTCCACACCACCGAACGACCACACTCACGATGATGACGTGCCGTCTGCTGTGCGCCCTGTTGGTGCTCGCCCTGTGCTGCTGCCCGTCCGTGTGTGCGATGGAGAATAGAGAAGATCAAGATGCGGGCAGTGGTTCACCGACTGCTCGGCCACCGGAAGCAGGTGATGCAGGGTTAATAAATACTTCCACGGCGTCAGGTTCAACAGATCCGGACGTTACTTTATCGGGAATCGAAAATAAGGACAGTGAGGAACTCGCTCCGGCAGGGAATCCAGGTAAAGAAGGTTCGGAGCACATTCCAAAAGAGGTACCAAGTGCATCCGATGGGTCAGGGTCGTCAAGTGGGTCCGCTAACCCAGCTGCAGCATCAAGTTCCGTGACCGCTTCTGTATCGGCACAAAGTGAGAAGGAAAATGTGCCAACAACAACAACAACCACTACGACAAAAGCACCAACTACCACCACCACTACGACCACAGAGGCGCCAACTACAACGACCACCACCCGCGCACCGTCACTTCGCGAAAGCGACGGCAGCCTCAGCAGCTCTGCGTGGGTGTGTGCCCCGCTGCTGCTCGCCGTATCCGCGCTGGCGTACACCACTGTGGGCTGAGAATTCTGTGTGGGCTGTGCGTGCCAGCACTTAACCGCGGGAACTTGTGTGCGTCCACTGTGGTCCGATGTGCTAAACAGGATAAAATAATGATTGTGTTTTACTTCATTTGCTTCCGCTGCCCTGCTGTGTGCTCCTTGCCGCTCCCCGCATCCGTCACGTTGAACGCACCCCAGACACACTCATGTGCATGGCACGCACACAACTGATTGCGTGGAGTCGCATTTGAGGATGGGTGCGTGCGCGCTGGAGCCATGCTGTGCAGCCCTTTGTTTTTTGTGTTTTTTTGTTTAACTTCATTGCTGTTCGTTTACCTGTGTTTTGTTTCTAATTGTTTTGTGTGTTTTTCTGCTTACTTGCTGCGGGGCGTTGTGTGTTTTTGCCCTTTCACTGCTTTCAACTGCCTCATGGTGTGTGTGTGCTGCCGCTGCTGGGCTGCTGCCATTTGTGACTGTGCGGTGGCTGTGCGTGGTGTAGCGGCCGTGTCTCTCCTTTTGCCTCCGCTCTGTGTTGACGGGGAGTTAGTTTGTGCTGAAGGCTGCAGGCAAGTGACAGGAGTGATGGCGATGATGATGACTGGCCGTGTGCTGCTGGTGTGTGCCCTCTGCGTGCTGTGGTGCGGTGCCTGGTTGTGTGATGCGGCGGAGACTTCATCGAGTGCTCTGCATCGTGATAATGCGGAGGAAAGGATGAATCCAGAGGAGGTGACTGAGGCTATCGAAAAGCTCGCAGAGGGAGTGCTGTACATGATTCGAGAATCTTGTCGAATGTCGTTCCTTACGAGTAAAAATGCCACGTTACCCGCGCACAACGATACGGAAGTTGAGAAATGTGTAAACAAAACGGCGGTTGATATTTCCGGCGTCACCTCTCGTGGCCGGCCTGCAGCCGCAACCGCAGACGCCACTTTGGCCTCGCCATTGCCGTCGTCAAGTTCTGCTACCAGCGCCTTGCAGGGGCAGGCGCAAGGATCACCAGGAGCTGCACCAGAGCCTGTGAAACCCCCGCAGACAGATCCGGTCAATAATGAACAGCTGTCTGAAACGCCGGCCTCCACAGGCGGTGGTGCTGGTGGCGATGGTGAGTTGACTGGCAGGAGCAGCCGTACACCGACCGACGTCGCAAAAACACATGAAGCACGCCCAGCTGGTAACGCCACTTCCACACCGACGGCCACTCAGAGGGATTCCGAGAGGTCACCGGCGAACACCACCCGAACACGTGAGACAAACGAGACTGATGACAGTGACGGCAGCACCGCGGCCTCTTACACCACCTCACCTCTTCCGCTTCTTCTTCTTGTGTGTGCGGCTGCTGCTGCGGTGGTGGCCGCGTGAGAGTGAGTGTGAGAGAGCCGTGCACCGCCCGCACACACACTCGTCCTTCTCTCTCTGTGTGTGTGTCCCCTTGCATGGACTCTCGCCCTCACCTCAGCCTAATAAGCACGCACATAATTTGTTCACGTATTTATGAATGCACACCCATGCAGGCCCGTTGGTATTCTCTTTTGCACCACACGCACCGCTGCCGTCTTGCCTGGCTGCATGGGCGGAGCACCGTAACAGTTTTTTAAATTATTTTCTATTGCATTGAGTGGGCGACCTCTCTCTCTCCCTGTGTGTGTTTTTGCTTTACGGGAGTAATGAGAGTGTGTGTGCTTCGGTCGTCCCACGCTTCGGCTTCTTGTTTTTTTTTCTTTTTCTTTTTGTTTTTGTTTTCTTCTTTGAGTCTCTGCTCGTGTTGTGGTTGAGTGCACTCATTCCACCCTTTTATCAGTGGCTTGCATTGACTGCGGGCGTTTAAATCTCCTCTTTGTGTTCTCATACCGTTTCTTTCTTTTTGTAGAGGTGTCAGCCTCTTGCATCCTCGTCAGGCCATTACGTTTTTTCTTCCACATGCGCCATGCGTCGGTTGATCCACGTCGCCCCGCGGCCTGCAGTGCTGCTGCTGCTGCTTGTGATGATGCTTGCGATGTGAATTGCCGGCGGGTGTCCTGCTGTCATCCTGACGTATCCCTGTTTCCTTGACGATGCGGTGCGTGCCGGCGGCGTGTGGGCGTCCCCGGGTGTGGTGGGAGACGTGCCTCTCGGAGCGCAGGATGCGTTGCAGGTGTGCAGCGTCGTTTGGAGGGACCGATGGGTGCCCGCCCGCATCAAGGCGCCAACAACGGACCCGTGTGGCAGCAGGAGGCACTGCGGCCTCTCCTGGTGTTGCACAGCGAATGCATTGGACGGCGCGTTTGGCTGTATGAATGGTGTTGTGTCGTCTGCGCACGGGAACGCTGTTGCCGAGGTTGTCCCTGCTGCTGTCAAACTGCATGCGGATCGTCTGCTCGTGCAGCCACTGGAGGGTTCGTTGATTGTGCCGTCACTCGCCACTGGCAGTGTTTGCAGTCGGTTCGCTGTGCCTGCTGAGCATTGTTCCGCTGGTGCTGCCAATTCTGACACAGTGCTGTACGTGGCTGCTGCGCCGGGTGGTGTGTGGGCACTGCCGTGCGCCACGCTGGAGGATGGCCGTCCCGTCGCTGGCGCCATGAACATTGCCCGGCCGCCTTATTTCACGGACGCCTCGCCACCCGCCTCGCCGCGCACCTGATGGCCCACGCTGTCGGGTTTGCCTGCCCGCACATGGCAGGCCGCGGCATGGCGAGGAATGCTGCCTGTGTGCGTGGCGGGGCGCTGTTGGTGGTGGTGCACTCGACGACTGCCGCGATGGCAGCGAGGGAGCACCACGACTGCGACGACGTTGATGGCGTGGAGCAGCAGGATGGCGATGGGGACGGGAGGACGCTGGAGTCGCACCGGTCACGGTGCCACGCGAGGGATGAGTGGATGGCAGCGTTTGGGGTGCCGGCGACTGCACGGAGCTGACGCTGGCTGCATTGGCTGTCCTGGGCTGCATGAGGGTGAGCAGGGGGATGGCGGGACCGACGCGTTGGTGCGGGAATTCGGGTTGTGCGCTGCAGCAGAGGAATTGCTCTGCACTGAACATGAGTGAATATCTTCGCATGCTGTGCGAATTGGGCGTTCCCGTCGAATGCTGCGCGTCGGATCTGTATTCCAGTGGCTGGTGTTTGGGAGTGTGCATAAAATGTCAGCAGAGCGCCCGATGGACAGCTGCCCCATCATTGATCCCGCACTGGATGTGAGGGGTGCTGACGGTGTTATTTGGCGGGGAGAATGCTTGTTTGCGGTGCCCGGGGATAGGCCCTCTTCGTGGTGTCCGGACACGCCTCCCACGAACACGACAGATGCGAGGGACCCGGAGGAGACGTGTCTGAGTGCTGCCATGCATGCGGCGTTGGGGTGCCTTGTCATGCAGGTGCGTCTTAGAGTGGTCGAAAAGGGCGGTGTCCGTTGGGTCCCATGCACGGACGGGGCGACGATTGCGTGGGCCACTCAACCGCACGATGAGGGAAG